CCGAAAGAAAGCTCAATTTGTGGGAAAAAAAAGATGTAAATTTCAATTATGTACCGTATTGCATGACCGCGCAATTGTCCGTTAAACTAGCGCAGCGCTGTATAGCAGAAAAATGGCGTAAATTGCAGTATCTATACCATAGTTTGTAGACGCTATAACTGTCACACAAAGCAATCAATATACACTTATTGGGATTTTTTTTTACCAAAAACATGGAGCAGAATACATTTTGGCTTAAATTTATAACCAACTTTGAGTTTACTATATATTTTTTATAGCTGAAAGTAAAAAATATTGTTTTTCTTCAAAATTTTTGGCCTTTTTTTGTTTATAGCGTGAAAAATAAAAAGCGCACAGATGATCAAATTACACCGAAAGAAAGCTCTATTTGTGTGAAAAAAAGGACGTAAATTTTGTTTGGGTGCAGCATTGCATGACCGCGCAATTATCAGTTGAATTAGTGCAGCGCTGAGTAGCAAAAAGTGGCCTGGTCATTAAAGGGGGGTAAATCCTCAGGAGGTCAAGTGGTAAACAGCTTTTAAGCTATCTTCTAATTTGCATTCTTTTGGACATCGGCGCTCCTTCCTTCCGTCTTTCTTTTCCAACCCTCAGTGACAGACGCTGGCGGCACACTGGATCTGCTTCGCTCTGCAATACTGTTCTGAACTCTGAGTGTCTCCAGTCGAATGTCTTCAGGCAGCTTGTATTTTTGTCTGTGACTTCAATACAAGTTCTGTCATTTGCAGTTGGCCACTGTATGTTTACTGCCCCCGCACCACGCTGCACCCACCCACCACAAACCAACTGCTCTCAGCTAGACACACATGCAGTATAATGGCAGTGCAACCCAATCATGCAATCAGGGCCGTCCAGGGTTTCCACCCCTTTACAAAAGAGTCCTTCCGTGTAGTAGTGAGGAAGCAGGTGAGGATGAATAAAATTTCTTTTTATTTGGTCCAAGGAATACACATGTTCCAAGCCAACACTAACGCATTTCAGCCTATCCATGCCTTACTCATACTTTCCTTTAGGCCTCATTTATACCAACAGCAGTCTTTACTGACCCTCTAAAAAGTGATCTCTGGAAGAGGAATGGCTTTCAGGCATTTAGTAGGTGATGATTCCACCTAAACTTTTTTTTGTAGTCATGCTTAACCATTTCAATACCGTGCAATTTTACACTTTCCTGCCCAGGCCAGTTTTCAGGTTTCAGCGCTCTCACACTTTGAATGACAATTGCGCGGTCATACAACATTGTACCCAAACTAAAATTTGATCATTTTCTTCACACAATTAGAGCTTTCTTTTGGTGGTATTTAATCACCGCCGGGGTTTTTATTTTTTGCTAAATTAACAAAAAAAGACCAAACATTTTGAAAAAAAAAACACGTTTTTCTTTTTCTGTTATAAAAGTTTGCAAATAAATAATTGTTCTTCATAAATTTAGGCCGAGATGTATTCTGCTACATGTCTTTGGTGAAAATAACCCAAATTAGGATGTATTTTTTAGTTTGTAGGAAAGTTATAGAGTTCACAAACTATGGTATAGATCTGAATATTGATCAATCCTGAAGTACTGACAGCCAATCTAATTTCTTGAGGTCCAAGAATGTCAGAATAGTACAGATATCCCCCAAATGACCCCTTTTTGCAGAGTAGACAGTCCAGCGTACTTCATAAGAGGAATGGCGAGTTTTTTGAAGTTGTATTTTTTTTTGTCATTTTTCGGAAAATTAAAAAATTAAAAAAATTATTTTCACTATTTTTTTTTTTTTTACATACTGTCAACAGTGCAGTACAACGTCGTCATATAACTGGCATGGCGGTGAACAGGGACACTATATATATACAGTATGAAAAAAATAAATAAAAAAAAAATATATATATATATATATTTTTAATTTTTTATTACATTTTTTTTTTAAATTTTTAAGATTGTTTTTTATATTTTACTATGACCAAAGTAGTACAATGTTACCATAGTAACATTGTACTACTTTGGGGAAGTGATCAGTTTTTTTTTTTTTTTGTTTTTTTTTATACAATTTGCTTATAGCAAAGAATTACTTTGCTATAAGCAAGCATTTACCTGAATGAAATCGCTTTAATTCAGGTTTTTTTTTTTGTGCTTAGCTGTGATTTGGCCACAGCTAATCACATGACGTGCATGTGACCTGCTGTGACCATTCACAGCTAGACACTAGTATACAATGGATGGCATGAATGAAGCCATCCATTGTATACAACTGTCATGTGACCTGCTGTGATTGGTCACAGCAGGTCACATGGTACCGGCAACGGGGACCGATACTCAGATCTGTCATCGGCCGTGTCCGAGGTACACGGCCGGTGACAGATCATGCCGCTGCACGGAAAGCTGAAGCATTTTTGCGGCCGCCAAACGGCTATAGGCCGGGCGTCTAATGGTTAAAGTGTTACTAAACCCAGGACCCTGCGTTCTCTATATCTGGTCTCCCACAGTACACACAACATGGAAATGCAATTATTTTAGTAAATATAAACTGCTAAATAACTTTTTTCATCAGCAGTTAGAGCAGTCTTGTGACTTCAGCAGAACACTGGTTAAAGCTTGTAGGAGGAGTTTTCTTTCTGCTCTAGGAGGATGCAGAACCCCTGACCTCTGTCTGGACAGTGCTGATTGGCCCTGTGCTGATCACATGCACTCTCCCAAGAAAAAAAAAAACCTCTCTAGCAATACACACCAAACTGAGCATGTGCAGGGAGACTCCACACAATATGTCTTATCAGGCGATAAGAGGGGGACACTGGAAGAAGTGTATGCCAAGCACGGGGATGCCCTCAGTGTCATTTCTGCCATCGACTCTTTTTGCAGCAAGGTGGAATGGGCGATGAACGTTGGAGAGCATGTGCAGGGAGACTCCACACGATATGTCTTATCAGGAGATATGAGGAGGACACTGGAAGAAGGGGAGGATCAGAGAAGTCGGGATCAAACAGCATTTTTACTCAGTGCAGAGGATTAACCCCTTAGGTTCCACGGTATAACGAGCATGCTTTACTACATCTACAGACTGATTTTACTGGTCTCCTCTATGGTCTCATGCATTGATCGATGCTGATCATCGTACCTGGTGTGAACAAGCCCACAGGCCCTGGCTATACATAATTACTGGTAAATTTCAAGATTGTAGAATACAATTGTCATATGTGTAACATGCATATAGCTTTGGTGTTTTTTTTTGTTAAATGTTGACCTAAAGAACTGCCCATGCCAGCAGTCAATTATTTTCCACACGGTCCACAAGGACTAATGACAGTAGGAATCAGGTTGGTACGGATGACGCATTTAAAACTTAATTTAGCACTTGTTCAATCAGTGTGGTGTGTGCAATCAGATTGTAGTATGTGTAGCAAGCTTTAGACTTTTTTTTTTTTTTTTACCTTAAAGCGGTATTTAACCAAAACCAGAAACGTAATATATTACAGCTTACCAATAATTAGATGTGGCCATTGCATTCGTTTGTATTTATTTAATTATTTATTTATTTTAGGATTTTTTCCCTCTGTTTTCACCTGGTTATCTAGCCAGTAAGGCTGCATTCACACTTGAGCGTTTTGTAGCTTGAAGCTCCAAAAAAAATTCAATCAATCTTAAAAAAAATCAATTGTTCTTTATGGTGCCTGTTTGCATGATCAGGTGTGAACAGGCACCATAGAGAACAATTAGTTACATAGTTAGTCTGGCTGAAAAAAGACAAAAGTCCATCCAGTTCATAGTTACATAGTTAGGCTGGCCATACATTATACAATTTTCTTTAGAAAATTGCTTTAGATTTACCAAAAACCATATAATAGGAGGTCAAACCTAAATAACACTTTCAATTGTATCCAATTAGGCTGGCCCTTGCACTACATAGCTGAAGGTAAATCTAAAGGAAATTGGGTAGAAATTCAACAGAAAATTGTATAGTGTATGGCCAGCCTTAGTCTGGCTGAAAAAAGACAAAAGTCCATCCAGTTCATAGTTACATAGTTAGGCTGGCCATACATTATACAATTTTCTTTAGATTTACCAAAAACCATATAATATGAGGTCAAACCTAAACAACACTTTCAATTTTATCCAATTAAGCAGGCCCTTGCACTACATAGTTGAAGGTAAATCTAAAGGAAATTGGGGAGAAATTGAACAGAAAATTGTATAGTGTATGGCCAGCCTTAGTCTGGCTGAAAAAAGACAAAAATCCATCCAGTTCATAGTTACATAGTTAGTCTGGCTGAAAAAAAGACAAAAGTCCATCCAGTTTAACCATAGAAAAAAAAAAAGTTTTAATCCTAAACCCACAGTTGATCCAGAGGAAGGCAAAAGAATAAACCCAGCAAAACATGATCCAATTTGCTCCTTGATTTTTTACGTTTGAGCTTTTGTGGAGCTTTAAGCTACAAAACGCTCAAGTGTGAATGCAGCCATGCAGACCTCCTGTATTAGCGTGCCCCCACCTCTGGATGAAGGAGCAGAGGAGGCATCTTTGGACAGCAGCACTGTCAGTCTGGGGGGAGGAGGATGCACTAGCAGATTTAGATGCACTAACAAAGTGAAGGCAAGCTCCAGCTCACACTTCAGTTACACAAGTAGTCACAGCAACAGTTTTTTTTTCTTTTGGGATAAAGGATTTACATAAATTAAATGCTGATCATTGTAAGCACCCCTGTCAGCAACCCTCTAACTGCTACATTGGTTGGACAGCTTGTTCTGTGGAAAAACAACAGACTTACTGGCTGGATCAGCAGGCAAAAAAAAAAGAAAATGGCCTAGAAAAAAAGAAAAAACAAATGCATGCAGCCATCACATCTAAGAATTGTTCACATAATAAATGTTTGCTTTTGGGTTTAATACCGTTTTGAAAAGATCTGCCTGTGTTTCGTCGATAGACAGTGTATGTCTGAAGTCTTCTAAATCTGTAATCTTTGTATCTTCCCATCAGGTCTTTGTGTTTCTGGCTGCTGCCGGTTACAGGATGCTGGCAATGGTGTCCTTGCTGTGCGCTGCACTGTTGTGCCTCCTTCTTTTTGTGGTTTGGAAAGTGCGTACAAATGGCGAGTGGGCACTCTGGTGGCACGACAACTACTTGGAACGGTTAAAGGACTTTGTGACGGGCACCACGCGGCCAATCAGGATTCTGCAATTCGTACAGCGCTGTGCCAAGCATGGAGACGCCCTCAGTGTCATTTCTGCCATCGACTCTTTTTGCAGCAAGGTGGAATGGGCGATGAACGTTGGAGACAAAAAGGGTAAGCAAGTCGAGATGGTCATGTGACGGCACAGCCTGACTTCACTTTGCAGTGTCTGCGCGTCACCTGTGCTGAAAGGAAGTCTGTCTCTGATTTTACACACCACTGTATACTGTATACTCTAACATTGTAATGCTGGAAAAACAACAAAAAAACCCTCCTTGATCTCCGTTTAGTAATCACACCTAGGCACAGTCCGTGCCAACCCAAATCTTTCTGTATCCTCCAGTACCTGAAACATGTTTGATTGACAGCCCTGTGCGTATAACAGAGGCTGATTGACCCACAGTGCCTGAGAGGAGTACTGCGGCTGGGTGATGTGCTGTTTTCAGTGAGCTATATAGAGCACCCTGCTGGTTTCTCCTGTCAGCCATGATCTGCCTGCACTGCATGAAGATACACAGAGACCCAGTGATGATGTCCTTGGGACTAACATAAGGTAGGTAATGAAAATGGAAAGATTTTAATTTTACAATTGTATTAGCAGGTTTATGAAGAGGGGAGGGAGAAACCAGGGAAGGCAAATGTAAGCAGATCAAAGTTCATTTCCAACCCTTACTCTGCCAAGGGTGTAAGGCTTACTTTGGAACAGAAGCACTTCAGCTGGCCATCTCCATAAACCTCACATTCTTGGCATTCCTTCTGCTAGAAGCTCAGGATCGCTTCAGTGACCATGAGCCCTAGACCAGGGGTCTCCAAACTGCAGCCCAGGGGCCGGATGTGGCCCTTTGCTTGTTTTTATCTGGCCCTTGAGGCATAATTCCTGCCACTGACACCAACAATGGTGCACTATTCCTTCCTCTGACACTCTCAATGGTGTACTATTCCTTCCACTGACACCAACAATGGTGCACTATTCCTTCCACTGACACTCTCAATGGTGCACTATTCCTTCCACTGACACCAACAATGGTGCACTATTCCTTCCACTGACACCAACAATGGTGCACTATTCCTTCCACTGACACCAACAAAGGTGCACTATTCCTTCCACTGACACCAACAAAGGTGCACTATTCCTTCCACTGACACCAACAATGGTGCACTATTCCTTCCACTGACACGAACAAAGGTGCACTATTCCTTCCACTGACACCAACAATGGTGCACTATTCCTTCCACTGACACCAACAATGGTGCACTATTCCTTCCACTGACACCAAAAATGGTGCACTATTCCTTCCACTGACACCAACAATGGTGCACTATTCCTTCCACTGACACCAACGATGGTGCACTATTCCTTCCACTGACACCAACGATGGTGCACTATTCCTTCCACTGACACCAACGATGGTGCACTATTCCTTCCACTGACACTAACGATGGTGCACTATTCCTTCTACTGAAAAACGATGGTGCACTATTCCTTCCACTGACACCAACGATGGTGCACTATTCCTTCCACTGACACTAATGATGGGTGCACTATTCCTCCCACTGACACCAACGATGGTGCACTATTCCTCCCACTGACACCAACGATGGTGCACTATTCCTCCCACTGACACCAACAATGGTGCACTATTCCTCCCACTGACACCAACAGTGGTGCACTATTCCTCCCACTGACACCAACTATGGTGCACTATTCCTTCCACTGACACCAACAAAGGTGCACTATTCCTTCCACTGACACCAACAATGGTGCACTATTCCTTCCACTGACACGAACAAAGGTGCACTATTCCTTCCACTGACACCAACAATGGTGCACTATTCCTTCCACTGACACCAACAATGGTGCACTATTCCTTCCACTGACACCAAAAATGGTGCACTATTCCTTCCACTGACACCAACAATGGTGCACTATTCCTTCCACTGACACCAACGATGGTGCACTATTCCTTCCACTGACACCAACGATGGTGCACTATTCCTTCCACTGACACCAACGATGGTGCACTATTCCTTCCACTGACACTAACGATGGTGCACTATTCCTTCTACTGAAACTAACGATGGTGCACTATTCCTTCTACTGAAACTAACGATGGTGCACTATTCTTCCACTGACACCAACGATGGTGCACTATTCCTTCCACTGACACTAATGATGGTGCACTATTCCTCCCACTGACACCAACGATGGTGCACTATTCCTCCCACTGGTGCAACGATGGTGCACTATTCCTCCCACTGACACCAACAATGGTGCACTATTCCTCCCACTGACACCAACAGTGGTGCACTATTCCTCCCACTGACACCAACTATGGTGCACTATTCCTTCCACTGACACCAACAATGGTGCACTATTCCTCCCACTGACACCAACAATGGTGCACTATTCCTCCCACTGACACCAACAATGGTGCACTATTCCTCCCACTGACACCAACAATGGTGCACTATTCCTTCCGCTAACACTAATGATGGTGCACTATTCCTCCCACTGACACAACAATGGAGCACTATTCCTTCCACTGACACCAACAATGGTGCATTGTTCCTTCCGCTAACACTAATGATGGTGCACTATTCCTTCCACTGACACCAACAATGGTGCACTATTCCTTCCACTGACCCACAATGGTGCACATTCCTTCTACTGACACTAATGATGGTGCACTATTCCTTCCACTGACACCAACAATGGTGCACTATTCCTTCCACTGACACCAACAATGGTGCACTATTCCTCCCACTGACACCAATGATGGTGCACTATTCCTCCCACTGACACCAACAATGGTGCACTATTCCTCCCACTGACACCAACAATGGTGCACTATTCCTCCCACTGACACCAACAATGGTGCACTATTCCTCCCACTAACACCAACAATTGCACTATTCCCACTGACACCAACAATGGTGCACTATTCCTCCCACTGACACCAACAATGGTGCACTATTCCTCCCACTGACACCAACAATGGTGCACTATTCCTCCCACTGACACCAACAATGGTGCACTATTCCTCCCACTGACACCAACAATGGTGCACTATTCCTCCCACTGACACCAACAATGGTGCACTATTCCTCCCACTGACACCAACAATGGTGCACTATTCCTCCCACTGACACCAACAATGGTGCACTATTCCTCCCACTGACACCAACAATGGTGCACTATTCCTCCCACTGACACCAACAATGGTGCACTATTCCTCCCACTGACACCAACAATGGTGCACTATTCCTCCCACTGACACCAACAATGGTGCACTATTCCTCCCACTGACACCAACAATGGTGCACTATTCCTCCCACTGACACAACAATGGTGCACTATTCCTTCCACTGACACCAACAATGGTGCACTATTCCTTCCGCTAACACTAATGATGGTGCACTATTCCTTCCGCTAACACTAAGGATGGTGCACTATTCCTCCCACTGACACCCAATGGAGCACTATTCCTTCCACTGACACCAACAATGGTGCATTGTTCCTTCCGCTAACACTAATGATGGTGCACTATTCCTTCCACTGACACCAACAATGGTGCACTATTCCTTCCACTGACACCAACAATGGTGCACTATTCCTTCTACTGACACTAATGATGGTGCACTATTCCTCCCACTGACACCAACGATGGTGCACTATTCCTCCCACTGACACCAACAATGGTGCACTATTCCTTCTACTGACACCAACAATGGTGCATTGTTCCTTCCGCTAACACTAATGATGGTGCACTATTCCTTGCACTGACACAAACAGTGGTGCACTATTCCTCCCACTAACACCAACAATGGTGCACTATTCCTTCCACTGACACCAACAATGGTGCACTATTCCTCCCACTGACACCAACAATGGTGCACTATTCCTTCCACTGACACCAACAATGGTGCACTATTCCTTCCACTGACACCAACAATGGTGCACTATTCCTTCCACTGACACCAACAATGGTGCACTATTCCTTCCGCTAACACTAATGATGGTGCACTATTCCTCCCACTGACACCAACAATGGTGCACTATTTCCTTCCACTGACACCAACAATGGTGCACTATTCCTTCTACTGACACCAACAATGGTGCATTGTTCCTTCCGCTAACACTAATGATGGTGCACTATTCCTTCCACTGACACCAACAATGGTGCACTATTCCTTCCACTGACACCAACAATGGTGCACTATTCCTTCCACTGACACCAACAATGGTGTGCACTATTCCTTCCACTGACACACCAACAATGGTGCACTATTCCTTCCACTGACACTAATGATGGTGCACTATTCCTCCCACTGACATCAGCTATTTCTACTTGTAATACCAAAGATGGGGCAATGTTTACTCCCACTGGGCACAAGCTAGATCCCCTAAAGTCTGAAGGACAGTAAACCGGACCTTTGCTTAGAACATTTGGAGAGCCCTGCCCTAGACTAGACTTGCCTGAATAATTGAATGGTTATAATCAGCAGTTGACAGGCTGCTGATCATAGTCCTTTATTCAAAATGTGACTGCACACCTCTCCCACTGCTGCACTTTTCCCCACCTGTCAGATCCCCCACTTTCTGCTCCCTGCCTATTACTGATCCTCCTGCTCAGTGCCAGAATTCTGCTCCCCTCTGTACCCTCATGTGCCTTCTGATTCCTGCTGCCCTCCACTGTACCTGCTGAGAGAGCGGGTTGTGGATCAGATTGTGCCTGCACAGTGAGGATGAAATGACAGGTGGGCAGCCACAGCGGGAGGGAGGATGGGATGTTCAGGATGCTCAGTATTCATTTTTCTGGTGTTCAGTAGTTTGCTATCACTTCAGTTTATAAATGAACATAGAAGTGCTCTGTACAGAACATTCTGTATTTGGTGTAGTGAGTGCTGGGGCTGCCGTGGAGAAGACTGAGGACTGTGTCCTCAATCTCTTTATCTATCTCTGTCTCAAAAAGGAAATATATTAGGGCGCTGTTTAGACCCCTGATCTTTTCCAACACCCCCAGACAGTACTGTAAAAAAATGTAAAATATAATCAACAAATAAAACAGAAATATGACCTCATTCACACAACAAAGGGCAGTACAATGCCAAGAAAGAGCATATAACTGGAGCCATGGGTGTTTGTGCACAGCCACGGACAGCTGCCTGTAGAAATCAATGACAGGCTGACAGATACCACGGCTGTAGGCATGTAATCACACAAGCAGTTATATGCATACAGAGACAGATAAGCAGCCCTCATCTAGGGTCACTCACAGGCATGGATAGCAATAAAAACATTGCCAGATGTTGTAATCTTTCCAACAGGAAGGCAGATAACAACAAAAAAAAAAATTAGCCCTCCCTGTTCTATCTGTAAAAAATTAAAAATGTTGGCTGGAGTTAAGCTTTTGTCAGAGATATAAGGAAAATGGCAAAAATGAGTAAATATTTAAACATGTGAAAACAGTAATGTACTCATTTAATTGCTGACAACTTACTCAAAGCTGGGCTTGCACTTTAAAAGGAATCGAACTCCTAGTATAGTAAATTCTCCCAGCTAATGCCATTGCAGAGGCGTAGCTGGGGGGGGCAGGGGGGTACATATGTACCAGGGCGCCAAGGTACAGGGGCGCCAAAATGAGGCTTACAACCAGGGGCATATTTGCCGCGAGGCAAACAATGCGTTTGCCTAGGGCGGCACTTTTTAGGGGGGCGGCACGGTGCTGCCGCCCCCCCCTTCCAACGGAAGGGACACTTGGTACAGGGGCAGGCTGCTGTGTCTTACCTGGCTCCGTGTCCCAGTCCCACGACGATCCAGTCCAGGAGTTGGGGTAGAGAGGTCCGCAGGTCCGGTGTCTCCTTTTCCCTGGACACGATGTGTGGGCGGGATGACATGCCGCCCCTGTCATCTGTCCCACCCTTGGGATCACTGGACAGCCTATGGCAGCTTGTACCTCCCTCTGCAAGCTCCACCTCCTCACTGGTGATTGGGCACCAGAACTGTAGTTCAGGAAAGGCACACAGGTGGCCAATCACCTGCGAGGAGGCGGAGCTTGGAGAGGAGGAGCCGAGCGGCAGCGTGAAGATCGAGTGAGGGAGCGGCCGGAGCAAGTGAAGAAGACAGCTGACCGGTAAGTGTGCCGTGCAGATGGTGCTGCTGCAACCAGGTATGCTGTCTGTGGATGGGAGAGGGAAGGAGCCTAGGCTGGAGCAGGGGTCAGCAAGGTAAGTGTCATTGGTGTCAGTGGGAGGAATAGTGCCCCATCATTGGTGTCAGTGATGTGATTAAACAGGAAGGGGGGCTGGGGCGCCAATTTTATAGTTTGTCCCCGGGCGCAAAATGTCCTAGCTACGCCTCTGTGCCATTGTACTACTTTTGGAGGTGGTACTGATTTTGCTGGTAGTCACATGTGACTCTGCAGGGGCATGCTCTGCCCAAAGCTACAGCAAGTTTCCAGAGTTTGACAATGGCAGCCTGCAATGCTAAATGTAAGTTTTTTTCCTCAAAGTAAATCTGTGCCATGCAGCTGTCAAAAAGGAAGCCGTGCCCAAGAAAAGAGATCTTTCCCCATTACGATCTTCTCTTCTACTGTGTCTCTGTATGGAGGTGGCCATGTTTGTAGAGGCAGAGCCTTGGCTTCCTCATGTCATAGCCTCCAGCAAACAGAACAGTGAGCAACACCATAGTGACATCTCTAAATCTCACTCCAAGTGTCCTGAGACAAGCAGTCATAGGTCTTAGGGCTGGTTCACACCAATGCATTTTTTGGTGCTTTTTGCAGAAACGCACTACAGTCCATTTAACCCTTAGCGACAGCGCCTCCCAGCCCTTTAAGGGTTCCAGAAGCTGGGAGGCGGGGCAGGGTTTTAGGGTCATGTGAGCACCGTGATTCGCTGTCATGGCAGTCACATGATCGGGAAAGGTCCCGATCGAAAAAAGGAGATCTGGACCTTTCCATGAGTACCAAATGTGTGTGCTGGGAGTGCGCAGGGCGCATGCTCTCAGCACATATGTTTTTTTAATAGAACGCAAATGTGCGGCCGCTCGGCATCTAGGCCCAGACACCAGGAGGCTGCACAAGAGGTTTACATGGTTTCTTATGATACATGTTCACATCTCTGCTTTTTTGAGCTGCTGTGTTTTTGGAAATGGTCAAGGACTTTTTTAAATGCAAAAAGCAGTGTATTTGTTACAATAGAGTTCAATAGAGAAGCTGCTGAAATGCATGTAGTGCATTTTTGCAACGTTTTGCAGTTTTATTCTGCCCAGCAACAAAAGAATTTCCACTTTAACAAAAAAAAAAGCTTGAAAAAAAGCAAACTGCAGAAAAAATGCACATGCAAAAAGCACTGCAAAACGAACAAAAAGCACTATGCACTGGTGTGAAGCAGGCCTTCGATCTCACACTGCAGGTATACAGTAGAGTTATGAGGCTGGATGCACAGGAGGCAGGAGTAGGCACACTCGCGTACCATGAAGTGCCCTGTATTTTTTAAGTAGAATTCAGAACAAAAGATATATTATTTAGAGTACTGCTTGGGCATGATCAACATCTCTGGATGTTCCCTATAAAATGAAAAATCCTCACGTTTAAATTTCAGGCTAACTTTACCTGCTGCCCGCTCCACCTGCTTATACTTGCCTTCTCTTTACTTCTCCACTACTCTATTTGGCTGCCAGGTTCCAAAATACTTAGCCTGCTGTAAGCTCCAGTTTGGGAATGTTACATATTCTCAGTGAAGCAACTAGCTTCAGGTGATGCACAGGGTTAAAACAAATCCTCCTACATATGTTGTACCTGTTTATCTGCAGTCTTCTCTTCATCTGTTTAGATTTTATAAAGCTTGTCTGAGCTGTCAGAAAACAAGGTGCGGGGAGCTGAAATTACACACTGCAGAGCCCAGTGAGGAGAGCTCTGAGAGCTGATTGGAGGGAAGGGACACACCCCCTCCACACCGTACATAGAAACAGAGCTGAAGCTGTGGATAACAGCCTGGAGCCCCCTCGCAGTCATCTTTTTTTCTTTTGCTGCCAGTAAAACTTGTCAAAAGTCTTAGGTTTACAACCACTTTAAAAACTCCCTCCCCACGTGTGTGTACAGTTAAGTGAGCTTGTTGTACATAGTCAATGCACAGGTTCACTTTAATCCTACTGTACAGGTAACTGCTCTGTGTGCAGCTTTGTGTGTCTATGTAATTTGACAGCTAATTCTTTTATTTTATTTTTTTTCACATCAGGGGAGATCCTGGATGCTATTGTCTTGGAGACCCGTCCCCGGTGGGTGCTGGAACTGGGCACATATTGCGGTTACTCTACAGTGCGGATCGCTAGGTTGCTGCCCCCTGGTGCGCGGCTTGTTACAATAGAGATGAATCCACACTATGCCCAGGTGGCCAAAGAAGTAATTCAGCACGCAGGGTTGGAGGCACAGGTGGGTTGGACCTTTCTTAAAGGGAATGTGTAATAGTTTTCAACATAATTTCTTTTGAAATACATTATATTAAGTATTTTTACATGTTTTCTTACATACCACTGAACCTGTTGTTCACACATTTCAGTAGCTCAAGCTGAAATTTACAATATCACAATAGCGAGTCTAAGCAATGACTCAATATGAGGTTTCATTCAGAGAAAAGAGATCTTATACAAATGGAAATGTGCTGTGATGGGAAGGAAGAGGAGCAGCCAGTACACTTTTGTACTCCCAGCCTCTCTTCATTTAATGCATACTCACTTCCATCCAGTAGTGAGCTAGCTCGTAGTGAGTTTGCTGGGGATGCAGACTTAATAGGCACCTTGTGCTTTGCCCGACAGGGCTAAGCAACAAATTTGCTTTAGTGCCTCCTTCCCCTGAAGAATATATTTTCCATTCCTTTGTTTCCCTGCTAAACCTTTCAACTGCAAAAAAAAAGTGCTTCAGCTATGGAAATGCATGTGACTCACTTCATGGGATAGTGCTGATTCTTGGTAATTGGCCTACCGCTGCTACAAAGGAGTCCTTATCCAACTAACTTCTAACCATTGCCTACTCTTTTCAAAATTAAAAGGCAAAAAAAGATCTTGGGTTAGAGATTCACATTAACTGCAAATCTGTCTTTATAGAGGTGAATTAAAATTAAATAGTATAATGTATAGATAACTTTTAATTGTCAAGGACAAATTTGGTGCAGTCTTGTAATAAAATATATATTTTCTTTTGTTTACCAAACCCAATTTGCCATCCTACCTATCCTTGTAGATGCCCCTTGTCCCTGATTACCCAGTGTCCTCCAGTGTCTCCTCTTCCTGTTCTCAGACCGAGCAGACAGCCAGTAATACAAGTAATACAACCCTCCCACCCAGTTCCCAGCAGCTCAGGTGGCGTCTGCAGGAAGCCCTTCTATACACCACGTTGCATTGCCTGCAGCTGCCCCTGCAACTATTTTCTCGCACTTCTCAAAACCCGTTAACATCATCATCACTCCCGACTCAGAAAGGAACTGCAGAAAGGAAACATGCTGGCCAGACCTGCAAGGTGAGACCTTTTCTCCCAGTAATATTTCCATTCAGTATGTTATAGAGGGGCCTGCAGGGTCAAGATCAGCAGCCGCCTAGCAGCCCCATTGAAAAGATTCTGCAAGCGACCTACAAAGTGAGAGCTTTACTCCCAGTAGTCTATTCCATCAGATTCTGAAAGGGACCTGCAAGGTTAGATCTTTATTGCTGTTAGTCCCCGTTGAGATTCTGCAAGCGACTTGCAAGGTGAGACCTTTATTGCCACAGGCCCCATTAAAAAGATTCTGCAAGCAACCTACAAAGTGATAGCTTTACTCCCAGTAGTCTATTCCATCAGATTCTGGAAGGGACCTGCAAGGTTAGATCTTTATTGCTGTTAGTCCCCGTTGAAGAGATTCTGCAAGCAACTTGCAAGGTGAGACTTTTATTGCCGACAGCCTCATTAAAAAAGATTCTGTAAGCGACCTACAAATTGAGAGCTTTACTTCCAGTAGTCTATTCCATCTGGTGGTTTTGGAAGGGACCTGCAAGGTTAGACCTTTATTGCTATTAGCCCCTGTTGAAGAAATTCTGGATGCAACTTAAAAGGTGAGACCTTTATTGCTGGTAGCCCCTTTGAAAAGATTCTGCAAGCAACCTACATGGTGACAGCTTTATTCCCAGTAGTCCATGTGAGATTCTAAAAGATAAAAGAAAGGAAGCGCTTCTAAGAATCACCAAAGGATAGATGTATAGAAATAAAATTTTCTAATCTCCTCACCTGCACTTAAGTGTAGGATAGTATATGGGCTTCCATGATAAACCGCTGAGTTGGTAATGTGTGCCTGGGTGTCCAGTCTGCACATGCAGATCTGGCCAGGAGTGCACTGTGTAATAGAGGTGACAGCTCTCCATCAGTTTGTATCTGGCTCTAAGTCCTGCTATGGCTCATAAAAAAACATTGTCAAATTTTGGAAGGGATCTCCAAGATTAGATCTTTATTGCTATTAGCCCCTTTTGAAGAGATTCTGGAATTAAACTGCAAGGTGAGACATTTATTGCTGCTAGCCTGTTTGAAAAGTTTCTGGAGGGGACCTGGAAGAAGAAACTTTAATTCCCAATAGTCCATTCTGTCAGACTCTGGAAGGGACCTGCGAAATGAGACCTTCATTGCTGGTAGCCTGTTTGGTTACGTTGTGGTAGACTGGACCTGCAAGGTCTGTTGGTCTTTCTTGCAAGAAGAGCAGAACATAAGAACAAAACACATCTAGTAGTTGATGATGGCCTTATTTGCTCTGAAGAGACTGTCTTTAATGTTCCCTATCTAAAGAGCGCAAGCATGTTAGTATGGGAACCAGCAAAGCAAATCTATAGATATATACCAAAATATCTGTTTCTCCTTGCAGCCATATTAAAGGCTATGGTTCGCCTTTCTAAAAGAAATAATGAATGCAAATATTTTTGCAGAAAAAAAATGTGCATATATTATTTTTCTTGCAGGATCCTGGAAAGCATTGAACTCATGATCAGGCTCTTGCAGACAAGTCCTGCAGCTTTCAGCCTGTACCTCTGATATGGGCTGACTGTTTTCAAGCTGCAGGAAGCTGTGAATAAAAGACATGGCAGCGTTCTTTAAAAATTGTGACAGCAGGTGCGTGGAGAAGTTCCCGGCCCTCTGTCACAATGAAGGGGTATCAGAGGGGAGAGGTGGCAGTAGTTGGAACATGTTACATGTTCCACCCTAAATATGAGTGGAACATGTAACATTCTGAAAGGTGAACTTACCCTTTACAGGGAATGCAGAGTCTTTTCAATAATTTTTATGATATACAAGTAAAACAGAGCAGGTTGCTGTAAATAATCTCATCAAAATATGTTCATCTTTTAAGAAAACCTATTTCTGTATATCAGGGATCGACAAATCCCAGGCACCAGGGTGCCATGGTTACTAGAAATTGCGTTTTGGTGACTGGGTTCATACATTGCCCAATCCCATAGATTTCAATGGGGAAAACGCGCCCCATAGATTTCAATGGGAAAACGCCTCCCAATAGACTTACATGGGAAGACACCTACCAATAGACTTGCATGGGAAACCGCCTCCCAATGGACTTGCATGGGAAACCGCCTCCCAATGGACTTGCATGGGAAACCGCCTCCCAATGGACTTGCATGGGAAACCGCCTCCCAATGGACTTGCATGGGAAAACCGCCTCCCAATGGACTTGCATGGGAAAACGCCTCCCAATGGACTTGCATGGGAAAACCGCCTCCCAATGGACTTGCATGGGAAAACGCCTCCCAATGGACTTGCATGGGAAAACGCCTCCCAATGGACTTGCATGGGAAAACGCCTCCCAATGGACTTGCATGGGAAAACGCCTCCCAATGGACTTGCATGGGAAAACGCCTCCCAATGGACTTGCATGGGAAAACGCCTCCCAATGGACTTGCATGGGAAAACGCCTCCCAATGGACTTGCATGGGAAACGCCTCCCAATGGACTTGCATGGGGAAAACGCCTCCCAATGGACTTGCATGGGAAAACGCCTCCCAATGGACTTGCATGGGAAAACGCCTCCCAATGGACTTGCATGGGAAACCGCCTCCCAATGGACTTGCATGGGAAACCGCCTCCCAATGGACTTGCATGGGAAACCGCCTCCCAATGGACTTGCATGGGAAACCGCCTCCCAATGGACTTGCATGGGAAACCGCCTCCCAATGGACTTGCATGGGAAACCGCCTCCCAATGGACTTGCATGGGAAACCGCCTCCCAATGGACTTGCATGGGAAACCGCCTCCCAATGGACTTGCATGGGAAAACGCCTGTCATGGACTTGCATGGGAAACCGCCTACACATGGACTTGCATGGGAAACCGCCTCCCAATGGACTTGCATGGAAACACCCTCCCAATGGACTTGCATGGGAAAACCCTTTTCCAATGGACTTGCATGGGAAAACGCCTCCCAATGGACTTGCATGTGGAAATCGCCTCAATGGACTTGTGGAAAACGACCTAATGGACTTGCACAAAATATCTAGCCTGTCTTGCGAAGTTTCAAAACAAATCCAGAATCGCATATGTGTGAACCAGAGCGGGTCCATTCACACCTGGGCATTTTGGGATCACAGCAGAATTGCTGTGCTGGCAAAACATATGTTCAGGTGCCATTATTTTCAATGGTGCCTAAAACGTGCAGGTTTGCTGTGATTGTCGCGTGGCAAATCGCATTGTGTCGCGTGGCAAATCGCAAACCGGGCGCTGACAACCAACGCTACGCTACAAAAAAAATCTGGCTCCTAATTTTTTTTAGTTGGCTCCTAGATTCAAAACAAATTTGTCAAGCACTGCTATATAGTTTATAGTTATAGATGTACAAGGGACAGCCATATTTCTACATTATTTAAACAGGTTCCTGCTACACAATGGCTGTAAACGTCTGACTTGACACTTTCACTAAAAAACAATACACTTCCGGTGAAGCTTTTATCATCGCTCGGCAGTTGTGATCATGAATGTCTGCTACACACAGGCCGAATATCAGATAGTTCAACAGAAACCATCCGACATTCAGCCTGTTCAACAGAATGAGCATGTTCTGTAGAATGAGCATGAGAAAAACATCTGCTGATCGGTCTGATCAGCGCTCAGCCAAAGCGAGCGCTGACTGATGTGTCCTGGTGGGGGGGTCCCCTTATCAGAACACAATAGCTCAGCAGGGAGATCGCTGTACTAACAACGCATGGTAAGTACAGAGACCTCCTAGCGTGCTCCTCAAAAGATTCATAGCGTGCACCAGGCATAACTGTAGCTGCTAATCTATAAATCTAAACATTCAATACAAGAAGAAAAAAGACAGCTTGTAAAATGTGAAAGTCACATAAATATTAATATTTCAAGGTAAACACTATATCAATTATGCAAAATATGTGTACAATGAGAAAAAATTATACTTCCCCCTTGATTTTATTTTCCTACCTACTATAGGAACATGCTGTATATTTTACAAACCATAAGGAAGCAAATAAGAGAAAATTCACTGTTAGGGTTTACAAAAACATAACTGATAGGAATGCAGGATATCAGTCAAGAAGATTGTTAAGCATGCTGGAAAATCTTTCTCTGATGGTGGTCAATTGCAGTTCATCATTTAGAACTCTAATACATCTCTATGCATGTAAAATAATATTTTTGTGCCCTTTAAACTTGAATTTTTCTTCATGCATCATGCAAAGTGAGGGGTAACTTTGAGTTTAGAGGGTTTTTTTTTGTGTTGGTGGAATAAAGACAAATACATTAAACACATGCATGCCTAATTTATTGTGCCCCCTTATCACATACTGAAAAAAATGCTGCATGTCATCTTATTTTTTAGAAGCACACTACACTGCAATGTATAGATGTAGACAAACTACATAATAATAATAGATATTTTTTTTTTTTTTTTTCCTTGAGAACATTTATTAAGGCCAATATTGACATACATAAAAAGGCACATTATATGAATTTTACAAAAAATCCAAGAGTGGAGAATCAAGCACAATACAAACTGATATAACGGGTAACATGCAAAACAGAACAAGTTTATAGCAAGATTTCAACAAAAATAGCCGCAGCAATACTCCTGGGAGAAGCCTCCGCAGAACCAACATTGTAGATACATAATAAAAAATAGGCTAACCAGAAGATCAAAAACAGCCATACTCTTCCAGAGCGATAGGGAAAAAGAAAAAAAAAGAGGGAAAAGAAAACACAAGAGAAGAAAGAGAGAAAGGAAAAAAAAAAAGGGAGAAGAAAGAGAGGAAAAAAAAGAGAGAAAAAAAAAATAGGGAAAAGAAAACATAAGAGAAGAAAGAAAGAGGGAAAAGAAAACACAAGAGAACAAAGAGAGAAAATAAAGAGGGAAAAGAAAACACAAGAGAAAAAAAAGAGAGAAAAAAAAAAGAGGTAAAAGAAAATACAAGAGAAAAAAGAGGGAAAAGAAAACACAAGAGAAGAAAGAGAGAAAGGAAAAAAAAAAAAAGAAGGAGAGAAAGAGAGGAAAAAAAAATAGGAGAAAAGAGAGAAAAAAAAGAGGGAAAAGAAAACACAAAGAGAAGAAAAAAGAGGGAAAAGAAAACACAAGAGAAAAAAAAAGAGAGAAAAAAAAGAGGGAAAAGAAAACACAAGAGAAGAGGGAAAAAAAAGAGGGAAAAGAAAACAAGACACGAGAGAAGAGAGGGGGAAAAAAAAAGGGAGGGAAAAGAAAACAAGAGAAGAAAGAGAGAGGAAAAAAAAAGAGGGAAAAGAAAACACAAGAAAGAAAGAGAGAAAGGAATACAAATTGAACAAAAGACAAAAAAAGTACAATAGATGAGATTTTATTTAAAAGGCATGTTCCCATTTTATAAATGATTGCAAATTATTGTTGATCCAGTCAGTTAACATACAGCATTTCCAATAATGCACATACAGTATATCAAATCCCACATACAGTATATCAAGTCCCAGAATCTTAGGAAATATCCTAACTATAGGTTGCTTCTTGAAAAAGGCCCAGGTTGTCCCCTGGACAGCCATGCCAATAACCAGAACTCCATTAACTACTGTTTTGGCACGGCTAGTTGACAGGTGACTAAGCTATGACAAAACTATAAGGAGCCTTGTCAGCTGCACTGTGGAAGCTGTAGTCAAAGATTGCCTTGGACTAGTTTCAAGAACTGACTTCGCTTGAAGCAAAAAGAAATCTGTAGCTGAGCGAAAAAGTCTACAATTATCCACAGATGACTTCCCAGATTGCTATCGCTCTTTGTACCATGAGAATGCTGATCATGTGACTGCTCAGAGGGGATAATATTCCGTATAGGAAATGAGGGTCATTACTCTCTAATGGAAGTATCTTCTGTGCTGTGCTGGAGCATGTCAGCTAAAATGGACACTACCTTTGATATAAAAATAGCTACAAAAAAATTAATGACCAATTCATGGCTATAACATTTTCTGAAATCCAGTTTTTACCAAAAATTATGCTTCCTTATTTATTAAAGGAAATCTGAAATAGAGCAAATACCTGTGTGAGAAGGCTAAGGTTTTAGATGGGATATAGGACCTTTATACATGTGACATCTACCCCACACATGCGCCAAAAGTCTCTGCCGGGTCCTGAAGCCCTGCAGCACATCACGTGTGGAAACCGGTAGCACGCATGTATCATCAGAGCCACCAGGTAGTGCAAAATCATTCTTACCTAGGTAGGACAGGAGAAAGTGCTGCATAATAGAAAAAAAGTAGAAAACGTACAAACTTTAACAAATGTAGCCTAAATCTTGTTCTTTTAATCTTCTTTTTTTTTTTTTTTTTTTTTTTTTAATCTAAAGGATGCCAACAATTTTCTGCTGACAATTTTTCACTGGGCTCCACCGAGAAATGGAAAGCTAGACATACACTGATCAAAGTTAGACATCAGCAGGCAGTGGCCACATTTTGATCAGTACGTGGCTATCCACACTTGACAGAAGTTGATAATTTGAGCAACTTCTGTTGAAGGGACATGCTGGAAAACATTTGACGACCAATTGCTGCAGCCACTGATCAGTGTATTCTGACAGTAGAGGGTACTGTTGTCAGAATATTTCACTCCAGGAGGGTTTCCTCCATCCACTGTGTGTTTGTTAATCTGCTCAATTAAAAAAAAAAAAAAACCTAACCATGTATAGCCAGCTTAGAGTCACTGACCTTGAGTAAGCAGTCAAGATGTTCTGACCTCACCTTGACTTTCATACGTAGTAGCCAGACAATTTTGTGTGGGATCTCTGTGCTGAGTTCCTAGTTCTGCACATCAGCTGCAGTCACTAAGAGGGGCTCTCACTCTTCCTGCTGGGTTTTTATGTATTTTATACTACAGAGAATGTAGCAGAAGGAGCTAGACCACACAAAAAGGTGGACAAGTACACACAGAACTCCCAGAAACAAAGCTCAGGATTTTGGCAGGGAGATCTCACCACAAGAGTCTCCAGAACACCATTCAGGGGTCTAACAAAGGAACCTTTTATGCTGGGGGAGAAATCTTATCCCTGTTTTGTGCCACAGGTGGAATTGTTGGTGGGCTCCAGCTCCATCTTGATCCCTCAGCTGAAGAAGAAACTGGACATTGAGAAGTTTGACCTGGTGTTTATAGATCACTGGAAAATCAGTTACCTCCCAGACACCAAACTGCTGGAGGTGAGTTCAAATGGCTTTTACCATTTACCGATGCTGCATTTGTGGGCCATTGTTAGATCCCTTAGCGTTAAACCATTCAAATGAATTTATTTCCTGTCCTTTTCATGACTGGATGTATTTGGTGTGCTGCATATTGTCTGTAGTAAAGGAATGGTGGTAATTACACAGGGAAATGCCCCACAATCACTGCTGATCATACTAGAAATAGATGGTCATCTACATACGGTGAGTGTCCGTCCATGTGGGGCACCTACAGCACTCTCAAGTGAAGAACTTTATTACAAGTATCAGAGCACTTTTTGGGACTATTTTCTTGATCTTTTTGTTAACACTATTTTTGTTGCATATTATTTTTTTGGAATGCATATAATATGTTCTGATAAGTAAGATTTTGTTTTTGATCATTTTTAGTACAGTTTCTAATTTAACACATATCTAGAACTGCAGCAGTCACTGTTAAGTTTTTTTTTTTCACTGTTTTTAGTTGGTTTTGTGTCAAGATTAGATATCCATGGCGCAGAGCTACACTTATATAAAGACCAGAACAGGCACATCATTATTGATCAAACATAGGAGCAGATGAGAGTCCGCAACACAGGTGGAATGTACTGCCAGCAAACAATTAAGAACAACAATGGTAATATGTAGTTTCAAGCTTACATAGGTCAAAACATGGTTAAAGAATAGCACCAGCATTCCATATAGTGGAGGAAAATGGCATGTAAATTGCAAGAACTCTCCAATAAAAGGAAATGAATCCCAAGCATAAATTACCAAGTGCTCACCAAGGCGCAGAGAACATAGGATCCACCCATCATAGTGGGTGGTTGGTATCTTGTAAAAGGCATTTAAAAACATCAACAGAAGGAAGCAGAAAAGGATGACAAAGAAGAGTGAGAAAGAAAAAGGAGAAAAAAAAGCCATGGCCCAGCTGGGCACCACCCCACCCCCTGGCCACCAGTAATCATCACGAAGGAGATTGAACCATGGATTCCAAACTCTCAAACCGTGGCGAGGTATCTTGAAGTATGTTGATCAGCTTTGCATTAGTCATGATCCAAGTGAGCTTGCACTTTATCACTGCCAGGTCAACCATGGGCTTTTTCCAAGCGGTTGCATTGGCTATCTTGGCCACTAGGAACATAAAGTATATTAGAGTCTGGGTGTGTGTGGGCACCCCTTTTTTAGATTCGTTGAGTAAGGCTATTCTGGGGTCCTCTTTTTGACAGTTTTAATTAGTGTCAGAGTGTCTTCATCTCACAATCTTTATCTGTGTTCTTTCACACACTCTCCAGCCCCCTATACTCAAGTGTTCTGTCAATCATATGTTTGTTTTACAGGTTTCACCTATTTTACTGTAATATACAAACATCTAATAACAGCAAAGGTCATCACTGAGAGTGCTTATTACATTTTCAACATATGAAAACGAGCTGTACATTAACAACATTGTTTATAGGCTACTTCACAGATAGCAGTAGTATCTGATTTCATGCTTCAAGAACAGGATGATACAGGATCCCATCTTTTACGCAGTTTGGGTCCTGACTAGGATTGATACTCAAGCATGGTTGGATCCTAGTCTGAACTCACTTGAGCGAGCCCGCCAAGAAGCTGCCACTGTACTGGGTCAATCATAGAAGGCCAAGGCATTCCTCTTCATGCAGCCACATTGTATATGTGCGGTTGTGGGGCGGGGAAACCACTGGTTGCAGATGATTAGCCCAGTACAGGTGACAACTTCCTGGTGGCCTTGCTCACTTGGGTTTGAACTAGGATGCAAACATGCCTGAGCTCATCACTGTTTCCAACCCATTGTTAAAGAAACACTGATCTAAAGGAATACATAGAGTACATTTAATGATGTTTATGTATATCTGTTTAAGAGTTGTCCTTTGATTGTCCTGTCCTCTGCTTTCTAGGAATGTGGATTGCTGAGAGCCGGTTCTGTTCTTTTGGCTGACAATGTTGTGTGCCCTGGAGCCCCAGATTACCTCCATTATGTACGGAACAGTCCTCAGTATCAGAGCCAGTATTATCAGTCCTATCTCGAGTACCTACAGGTGGAGGATGGCCTAGAGAAATCCATCTTCCTGGGTTGATAACCAGAAAAAGACCTATACCCTGGTCACCTGCAGTCCTGCATCTATCTCTGTGCTCCTGGCTGTAGATGACTACTACTAAGCAGTGTTGTAAAATTCCATGGATTCCAGTTTGTTGGGGACAGCAACAAGCTGATCCTCTATTCCTTTTAGGATAGAATTTCTTGCCTCTATATTGGGACTGTGCACCCTTTGGCAGTCAGAATGCTCCAAAGTCCCTGAAGACTTGGCTAAGCTTCGACCACATAACTGTCAAACTTTTCCTATCTTTTGGATTCAGATTATCTCCTGTATTTCCGAGAAAAAAAAAAACAAAAGCTTGAGCAAAATGCATGGCTGTTGGGGTAAGCCTCCTGTTTCAATAATTTGTGCCACTGACCTGGAACAGGTATGAAGATAAGCACCTCGGACCTCTTTGATCTGCAGACTTGTCCCAGGGCAGCCACTGAGAAAGTATATGTCAGTGGTTCCGCCGCCCCATTTGACAGCACTAGGCTATTCACCAACATTGTCACTTAGGAGAAAAGGTGAATAAGTGCTGCTTGGGAAAGGGGGTGTTATGTGAACCTGAATGTAGTGGTCAAATTCCAGGAATGGTGATATTTTGTCTACCTTTTGCTAGACTGCTCTATACAAATTCTTTGTCATGGTATAAAGGGACTCTATACCCTTTTTTTTTTTTATTCTCCTTTTGTATGTTATGTTTCAATATATATGAAGAAAAGATTGGGTGAACAAATCTTGTAATAAAATAATATACATTCTTGAAATCCCTGATCCATTTTGAATTTTCTTTACTCTGATTCACCTTTCTTCTTTTTACTTCAGCAATTTTCAAAAATGTTAATCCTATCCTAGTACCAAAGGTCACCAGCGGCGCATCTTATGTCCTTATGAGTGCCGAAATAGGATGAAGCAAGAGATGCACTGTCTGAAATTACTTGGTCTGTGGCCCTTTATTAGAGGCTGTAACACAATAGTTTAAGTCCCTTTAAATCTGTCCAATTGTTGCATTTATCCTCTAAGGCGCTCTACTGAGCTACAAAAGCATTTGGCCCTTTGTGCACAATGCAGGCGATCTAGGGGTACCAGGGCCACACATTTGAATGAAGATGGGATTGGGGAGAAGGTAAGTAGTAATGGTGGACCCTTGTCTTGCAGCAATGACATGAACAGGTTTTCCAAGTCAGCTTATCCAATGGCTGACAGCCTTCCATATGGCTGGTCAGGCCCATGCACACTGAGCTGCTCCTAGGGCTGTCTGATGGTTTTTGCATTGCACACATAGGCATTTAGAGGAGTATAGTGGCAAAGATGTTTAACGGCAAGGAAAATAAAAACCCATTGCCAGTATGTCCAGGAACAGCAGAATTATGGCAGAAAAAAATTGACTGTTATAAATGTGTGTAAACACTCATTAACGCTAGGCATGTTTAGTGCTTGAACGATAATTCATTTCAATGGCTAGAATAAATTATATTCTTGGTCAATTAAATGAATTAACAGCCAAGCATTAATTAATGTCTCTAAACACGTTACACACTTTTACAAGCGTAAGCCGTTTTTTCTACAAAAAACACTGCTGCCAGGAGGAAAGGCTTCTAGGAGAGTTCGCAAAATGTCCTGTGTGCATGAGGCCTTAAACTGATTTAATTTCTTTAGAGAACTGTTCACTGGAGATTTTTCTCTTTTTCCCCAATTGTTGTGGATGAAGGAGAAAGTTTCCTGATCCGGTTTTTTTAATTATATATATTTATAATAGAGAGATTGATTTCTCTCTTTGCTTTGACACCTAGCTTGTAAGTGAGGGCCCTCTTAATACCATAAACAGCAATGAATATTTTTTTTATTGCTGTCTATCCTGCTCTGTTTGCCACTTATCAAATACACAGCAATCTTCCTAATTGGAAACCAGCAATATAATTTGAGAAGAATAATAGTTTGGAGTTGGGCTTTAAACTGCTAAATGATCACTTCAGGGGTTAGTTACTAAACCTGGAGAGTTCAAAATATGGTGCAGCTCTGCACAAAATCCAATCAGCTTCCTTGTTTTTTGCCAAAGCTGAAATTAGAAGCTGATTGGCTGCCATGCACAGCTGCACCAGATTGAGTGCACCAGTTTTAGTAAATCTTCCCCCATGCTTACAAGGTGACTTCTCTGCTATGCTTATAGTCTAACATTACTCTATTACAAAATCATAAAACTGTCACGTTTCCTGTTTTTTTTTTTTTTTTTTTTTTTTAGGGGCGTGATACAGCAATACCTTAACTGTGGCTCCATGACAGCCAGTCTGTCAACAAGCACTGAAATGTGGGTGGGAAATCCTACCAGTGACCACATCCCAGGGCTTGTTCACACCAAATGTTTTCAGGTGTATTTTCAAAAATGCATCCTCTTGCTCTGTAAAATCAATATCAATAAAATCAATATTTTCCAATCACCCTACTTCACACCACTGCAGTGTTCTGCACTGGACTGCACACACTCATTTTTCTAGTGAACAAAAAAAAAAAAAATGCAAACACGTGGACACGCACATGGAACTCAGGGATTGTGGTATGAACTAGCCCTCATCCTGAGGACATGGCTGCAGGGTGGTGATCAGACCAGTCAGACTTTAAATCATATCCCCCTGAAGTCACGTGACCTGATGACGCACCGCGTAGGGGAAGGGCTCTGACGTCACGACGTTGTCTCATCACATTGGAAGAGGACTTTTTATGTGCACAGATTTGATTTTTTGCTCACTATCAGACGTTACAAATGATTATAAGCACAATCATGGATTAATATTTTTATATGATGGTATAGGCAATAGATGATTAATTTCTGCATCATATATTATAGTTTATTGGTTAAACTTTATTTATAAAATATAACATTAATAATCACAGATAATTTATATAGGAGCGCGGCACTATCAGTATATTGGATTTTCAGTCACAAAACACTGTTTAATGAGTTGGTGTGAGTGGCAGCAAACCACAGGTAGATTATATATTTTGTTTGTCATCATATATACACAATCAATTGGAATCATTTTCTCATCATAGTAGCTCACAAGTATATATTTAATTATTGCACATAAGAAACAAAGAAACTTTTTTTTCAACATGTTTGGTCTTTTTTTGTCAATTTAGCAAAAAATAAAAACCCCAGCGGTGATTAAATACCACCAAAAGAAAGCTCTAGTTGTGTGAAGAAAATTATAAAATTTTAGTTTGGGTACAATGTTGCATGACCGCGCAATTGTCGTTCAAAGTGTGAGAGCGCTGAAAACTGGCCTGGGCAGGAAGGTATTGAATTGGTTAAAGAAAGGCAGGTTTGGGGGACCAAACTCTTCCAAAAAAAAAAATGTGCTGAATATATAAACTTAAAAATCATACGTGCTTAAATTGAGTGTCATATGAATTAAGTCCATAAAAAGCCATACTTAAACATGACAAATATATCTAATAAGTTCATAAATTAATACCTCTCCCGTGATTACGTTTTTTTGTTTTTTTTTTTTAAATCAATCCAGTGAACAGTATATTCACCACAATCAAACACATCCCCTTTCCAGAAACAGACCCCCAGATAAGAGGTCTGCAAAGGCATGAATCTGTGTGTTTTCCAACACGAATGTCACTCCATGGATGTTCATGTGCTCAAAAACATGAAAGAGAATCTCCATAGTGAAGTTCTATATGAATGCTTTATTAAAAAATCCAAGATTCTACTAACAAAAATGCAGATAGGACACTTGCACAGCTCCAGCAGACAGGGACTGATGTTAGCATGGACTCCTCCACCCCAGGAGGACCAGTCGTCACTAGTAGAACGGGCAGGGAGAAAGATTGCAGGGTCCTGGTTTTAGGTTTTGCTCTGTGGTACCAATATCCTAGAAACGTAAGCATTAGAGCCTTTATCAACTGAGGAGAAAAAGATGAATTACTTTACAACTACGGCGTTGGGCTTTAAGCTTGATGTTGTAGTCCTGGGGTCTCCAAACAAAGAGCCAGTTTATTGTTCTTTAGACTTTAGGGGGGCTGGACTATGACAAGTGGGAGTAGAAAATGTCCTGGCGTCAGTGGGCATAAACAGTGCTCCATCATTGGTATTAAGGGGAGGAATAGTGCCCCGTCGTTGGTGTTAGTGGGAGGAATAGTGCCCCGTCGTTGGCATTAGTGGGAGGAATAGTGCCCAGTCGTTGGTGTTAAGAGGAGGAATAGTGCCCAGTCATTGGGAGGAATAGTGCCCCGTCGTTGGTTTTAGTGGGGGGAACAGTGCCCCGTCGTTGGTTTTAGTGGGGGGAACAGTGCCCCGTCGTTGGTTTTAGTGGGGGGAACAGTGCCCCGTCGTTGGTTTTAGTGGGGGGGAACAGTGCCCCGTCGTTGGTTTTAGTGGGGGGAACAGTGCCCCGTCGGCGGTTTTAGTGGGAGGAACAGTGCCCCGTCGTCGGTGTTAAGGGGAGGAACAGTGCCCCGTCGTCGGTGTTAAGGGGAGGAACAGTGCCCCGTCGTCGGTGTTAAGGGGAGGAACAGTGCCCCGTCGTCGGTGTTAAGGGGAGGAACAGTGCCCCGTCGTCGGTGTTAAGGGGAGGAACAGTGCCCCGTCGTCGGTGTTAAGGGGAGGAACAGTGCCCCGTCGTCGGTTTTAAGGGGAGGAACAGTGCCCCGTCGTCGGTGTTAAGGGGAGGAACAGTGCCCCGTCGTCGGTGTTAAGGGGAGGAATAGTGCCGCGTCATTGGTTTTAGTGGGAGGAATAGTGCCCCGTCATTGGTTTTAGTGGGAGGAATAGTGCCCCGTCATTGGTTTTAGTGGGGGGGAATAGTGCCCCGTCATTAGTTTTAGTGGGGGGAATAGTGCCCCATTATTGGTGTTAGTGGGAGGAATAGTGCCCCGTCATTGGTGCTAGTGGGAAGATATGCCCCATTGTTGGTGTTATTTTAATAGGACCCCGTGGGCTGGAAAGACATACAAAAAAGCAGCATCCGACCCCTGGGCTGCAGCTTGTGATCAGACGCATTTCTCTTCATTTCGTTATCCTCTAAGCTTATATATATTGTACGATCACAAAAGTGGACCTCACAGATAGCAGATGCAACACTGCAACCAAATTGCAGCACTACACAATCGGGACTTCTCTTGTTCTTTAAATGCCTGATGTGCCTTGCAGCAAAAGTTAGACCTCAGGTGTCCGCTGTGCCAGATTACTCTTTCCAGGGACATTATTTTTAATGGGTTTTTTGTACTACAGGCGCACCCTCGTGAAAGTGTCTCATCCTGTGAATCATTCTAATTTCCTGACAAAGCCTTTGATTCTCACTGCGATCAATGTTTTATTCAAGAAAATGTTCGGGAACATCCACACTTTCTGAACATCCGAATGCCTCAAAAGATTCTTCGTCGCCTCAGCTAATAGGCTGTAATTAGTACAGGGTGGGGTGGGGGGGGGGGGGGGGGGGTGTTCAGGAATTTAGGTCACGCTGTAGGAGGGGGCAGCTCAACATAGAGGACGCAAGGATTAGGCCGCTACTTAGTGTGACATAATTAGGAAGGACAAGGCCTAATTTAACTCTTATGCTGCCACAATCTGTTAGGTCTCAGCAGCTGTTGATTTTATCATTCAGATAGAAGCAGTTAGTGTATGGTTCAAAATGGAGCCGCTGTTTGTTATGTGGGTTGAGCATTTAAAGGGTACCTTTTAGATTATCGGGAACCTATAAGTACTGTGAAATGTATTGGTACAGCCACACAGTCTGTATTGAAGGACAGGGTGACAACACAGAGCAATTGGAAGACAGGGACTAAGCATTATCATCCTCATGACAAAAGGACCAGATACTTATTTAAGAAAAAGATTAAAAATAACAAAATTACATGAACACAAACTACTACTACTTAAACACAACTACTTAAAATGCTAGTACTGCAGGGAGTTAAGTGCCCGGTCATACCGGTGCGTTTTGGGAATTGAAATCGCATCTAATGAATGCCAGTGTTTTAACATTTGCGATTTGCTGCAGCGCAATTTCTAAAGTAGTTCTTGCATTACTTTGTGTGCAGTTTTGTTGCGATCTTACATACATAGAATATAATGGAAATCGCACTGCAAATTGCAAGAAATCGTTAAAATCTTCACAAGTAGCAAAAATGTTTTTCAGAAATTGCCCCAAAATTGCACGATTTTAAATCGCAACAGTGTAAATGGTGACTAAATGTAAGTTCACATCAAGATGATAGTTCATGATTTATTGATATAAAATACACCAATACCATTCATATCATTTTACAACCAGAAGGAAATTGGCACGAATAGATTAACAGTGAGTTAATACACTGGGTCAGTACATAGCTTGGTAAAGGGACTGACTTGCTGCAGCTCCAAGAATTGTGCATGGGGCTTCAGGTCATATTTCCATTATTCCCTGCACTACCCTTAGGACTGCTGAAATAAATATTGTGGCTGCCCCTCTGACCTCCCAAAAATGCTAGTATCCTGGATGTTAATCCTGCCCCAGAACAAGCACACAGCAACCAAAGTCAAAGCTCCTGATCGGCAATGTGCTGTATGTAGTTCAGGGGTTTGGAAAACAGTGGATCAGCATGACAGCTGGGCAACTAACATTTTCAGGAGAGGTCAGAGGTTTTGTATATTGACAGATTGCCAATATGCAAAGTTTTTTTATTTTTTTTTTGCAGTTCTGGCACTAATTGCATGCTAATGGCGGGCAGACCCCTGCCACTTACAGCATTGACCTGTCTCTTCATTTAAAGGATAGATGCAGGTAAGAATCAGCAAACACAAACTAAAAATCATGCAATGTACAGCTTTGTCCTACTATTTTTTTTTTTTTAACCTTTCAAAAGAACAAAAAAATAAAAATAAAAAAAGTAAAACAAGCTAGCACATATAGCTTCACAGATTCACTAAAAAGGTCCTATTCATGTCATGGCAGTTTGTTGCATTGCAGTTAACAGGCATCATGTTAAGGCAACCCATTCATATGAATAGGCTGTCAACACACCACAACAGATTAAAAAAATATAAATCTGACGCATTTTTGGCAAGGTAGCGCATTACAATGCACAAGAACTTGTCAATGTGGCAGTTGTCAGTCACATTCAATGTCCCCTCCCAGCTCTCAAAGCTGGTGCTCATCCAGGGCACATCTCACGGTTTCAACATCAGTGACATGTCAGCTAAAACTGACACGGCTTTGGGAGTTGGTCGTATTACGATACATGTGTAGAGCTACAGATCATTTATTTTTGGTGGGTGTTCAGAAGTCAGTTATGTATATATTTAGTTCTGAAGCATGATCAAGATAGATTTCATTTCTTCAAAGTAAAAAAGGACAACATATTTACACTGTACAGAAACTCTTAGTGAAAACGTATAGAACACAGCTTCCCAAAAAGGAAGGAAGGAAAGGACACTGGTTTGTTCTCTTAGAACAGTGCCTCCAATACGTTCAAATTTTGCTGTTCACTTTCCATACTCAAGAAGCATTGAATATTTTCTGCAGTAGCGAGCGATTAGTCTGTGATCTCTCCTGTGCACGCTCTGCCTGCTCCTGCCTCTTCTGGATTCGTTTCTTGTCCCCAGATGCCTTGAGGGCCTGTATTTCAGCCTCTGTCTTACGCTGCGTGAAGTTCCACTGCTTGTCAGGGATTGTGCTGTTCCCTGGCTCAATTGCTCTCTTACGGTCTGCTTTGGAGAACTTTTTGCTGCGCTCTACGTTCTGCAAGTAGAAATTGGTTTCTCTCTTGGCCTGAGACACCTCAGTACGCATCCTCTGCTTCCGCACTTGCCTCTCAATGGCCAACCTCTCGCTGAGGTGAGACCACCTGAAACGGTGCAGATACTGTAGACAGAGAAGATTAAAAGGTTAATGAAAGTTACTTCTAGTGGAACTTAATCCAATAAAGACCCCCACATAGGTTCTACATTTTCACCATATATATTTAAATTAAAAATAATGCACCGGGGAGAGGCCAAGACAGACATGTGAGCAGACCTGCTTCTGAAGGCTTCTGGCTCTGATCCTGTACCGATCCTTCCTCTGGCACTCTACCGTGTTCCCACCACCACTACTGCCTTACTCTTGGTTTCAGCTTTCTGCGGATACCTAAAACGGGTGAACTGCACATATAATGGCCTGCAACTCTAAAGAGGATGCCGTGGCCCAGGAGGCTCGTGGCGCCGGAGTGCTTTCACAGAGAACGCCTCATGGCTCTGAGAGATCTAAGGAACCTGCTAGCAAACCGGGAAAGTACAGTTGTTTCACAGGTAAAGATGGTAATATTCTTTTCTTCACTCTCTGATATGCAGACTGACAATAATGTTGGCGCTGGGGAGGGTTGTTCGGAGATGTGGCCTTTACTGTCCCCAGCTCTGACCTGGCCACCATACAGGAAGCAGCTGCCAACACGGCTGAGGAAGACACTGAGTCCCCGGAGGGGGAGAACAACCCACTCTGAGTGATATTTTACGGGCTGTGAATAAATGCACAGCTCTGGTACAATCGGTAAAGGAGCAACTAGGGGGTCTGACAGAGAAGGTCTCCTTTTTATGACAGGACATCCAAAAGATCAGAGAACGAACAACCACGGCTGAAGGCTGCATCAGTGATCTGGAAGATCAAATGCCCCCACTAGTGGCTAAGACCAGAGCTGTGGCCTGCCAATTACATGTGGTCACGGATAAAACGGATGACATTGAAAAAAAGACTGCGGCGTAACAATGTCCGCATAGTTAGGCTGCCAGAACAAGTTGAGGGTAGAGACTCAACTACCTTCATTGAAACATGGCTGCAGGATATTGTTGGTACTTTCACCCCCCTGTATGCTGTGGAAAGAGCACACCGTGTTGCGGCTAGAGCTATACTGGGAGACGTACCCAGACCTGTCCTGGCGTGCATGTTACGTTACTAAAATTCAAAATACTAACAACTTACAAAGCCATCCACAAGTCTGCCCCAGCTACATCACCAACCTGGTCTAAAAATATCAACCAAACTGCTCTCTTCGATCCTCCCAAGACCTTCTGCTCTCTTGTTCCTGTGTCACCTCCTCCTATGCTCGCCTCCAGGACTTCTCCCATCCTATGGAACTCCCTACCTCAATCTGTCCTGCTTTCACCTAATCTCTCCAACTTTATACGATCCCTGAAAACCTCTCTATTTAAAGAAGCCTATCCTGCTTCTACCTAGTAAACTGCCTTTTATTTCCTTTATCAGCTCATCCCCCACAGCCATTAACTTTTGTATCACTCAACCCTTCCTCCTAGATTGTAAGCTCTAACAAGCAGGGCCCTCTGTTTCCTCTTGTACCAAATTGTATTGAAACTGCAATGTCTACCTTCATTTTGTAAAGCGCTGCGCAAACTTATGACTATATTATAACTATATAAATCCTGTAAAGTCATAAAATAATAATAATACTAAAACAGAGAAATCATCCTACGACTAGCTAGACAGTGGGCACCCATACAGTTTAATGGAGTCAGAGTGTCCTTCTTTCTGGACTTTTATGCGGAGGTTCAACGCTGGAGGAATACATTTTCGGATGTTAAGAGGTGGCTCCAACGTCAAGTGTGCCATGCTCTAGCCAGCTTGCCAGCGGATCACGGCGAGAGGCCGAGTTCACTTCTTTGAAACGGCTGACGAAGCTGCCCAGTGGTTGGATGTTAATGAAGCCTCTAGTAAGATGCCACATCAAGATGCTGTGGGCTGATCTTCTACTCCCAAAGTGTTAATGTTATTTCTCTGCCCTCTCCAGTACCTGTCTGGTGGTGACTGGGAGCTATATATGCTTCTGAACAGTTTTCTTCTTTTTGTTTTTTTTTTTATGCCAAATTAACCCAATCTATAGCTTTATGCTTTGGGATCTGTATACATGGATGAACGTGCTCCTGTATTCCAACTGTTTGGGGAAGCGGATTTTGCTTCTATTGCTCTTTACATGGTGCTTTTAGCGCCAGAAGTTGGACAGGGCAAACTGGTTTTTCTTGGGGTGGCTCATGCTGGTTCTGCCTTACCACTCCTGTTGGCTGTTAAATTTTTCTCAAACCTTGACCCCAGCACCATTGCGTTGGGGTCTGTTCCTTAATGTTTTCTCCCTTTATCTATTACCGGATATTACTGTGTCATGAACAGACTCTTGGTGCAGATGGACTTAAACATGCTCTAAAATAATTGTATTTCACTCTCCTCTGTTTATGCTAATATGAGTTTATGAACAGAGAAGGTGGTTCCTTAACCTTGACAATTCTGTTTTATGATGGCTAAAGTACCTATTATATCAAGAAATGTGAGGGGGTTACATGATGCTTTGAAATGCTTCATGGTCAATGCGTCCCTACGCAAATACCACCCAGGGATTTATGAGCTGCAAGAGACACACTTAACCAGGGACATGCTGAAGTGTATTGGTGATGGGGCTGTTGCTCTTACCACACCTCCTATTCTCGGGGTGAGTTATTTGGCTCACAGATCCTGGGATTTTCAAGTGTTCTCTTCTAGTATTGACCATGATGGCAGATTTATATTTGTGCACTGCAGGCTATATACAGTGCCTTGAAAAAGCATCCATACCCATAAATTTTCTACATTTTGTCATGTTACAACCAAAAATGTAAATATATTTTATTGGGATTTTATGTGATAGACCAACACAAAGTGGTACATAATTGTGAAGTGGAAGGAAACCGATAAATGGTTTTCAAAATTTTTTACAGATATATGAAAAATGTGGCATGCATTTGTATTCAGCCCCCCGGAGTCAATACTTTGTAGAACCACCTTTTGCAGCAATTACAGCCTTAAGTCTTTTTGGAGATGTCTCTACCAGCTTTGCACATCTAGAGAGTGACATTTTTACCCATTCTTCTGTGCAAAATAGCTCAAGCTCTGTCAGATTGGATGGAGATCATCTGTGAACAGCAATTTTCAAGTCTTGCCACAGATTCTCAATTGGATTTAGGTCTGGACTTTGCCTGGGTCATTCTAACACATGAATATAATTTGATCTAAACCACTGCATTTTAGAGCTGTCTGTATGTTTAGGGCCATTGTTCTGCTGGAAGGTGAACCTCCGCCCCAATCTCAAGTCTTTTCCAGACTCTAACAGGTTTTCTTCTAAGGTTGCCTGTATTTGGCTTCATCCATCTTCCCATCAACTCTGACCATCTTCCCTGTCCCTGCCAAGAAAGTATCCCCACAACATGTTTCACAGTGGGGATGGTGTGTTCAGGGTGATATGCAGTGTTAGTTTTCTGCCACACATAGCTTTTTTTCTTTTAGGCCAAAAAGTTCAATTTTGGTCTCATCTGACCAGAGCACTTTCTTCCACATGTTTGCTTTGTCAGACACATGGCTTCTCACAAACTGCAAATGAGACTTCTTATGGCTTTTCTTTCAACAATGGCTGTCTTTTTGCCACTCCTCCATAAAGGCCAGATTTGTGGAGTGCACAACTAATGGTTGTCCTGTGGACAGATTCTCCCACCTGAGCTGTGGTTCTCTGCAGCTCCTCCAGAGTTACCATGGGCCTCTTGGCTGCTTCTCTGATTAATGCTCTCCTTGCCTGGCATGTCATTTTAGCTGGAAGGCCATGTCTTACTAGGTTTGTAGTTGTGCCGTATTCTTTCCATTTTCTGATGATGGATTGAACAGTGCCCTGTGAGATGTTCAAAGCTTGGGATATTTTTTTTAAAACCTAACCCTGCTTTGAACTTCTTTACAACTTTATCCCTAACCTGTCTGGTGTGTTCCTTGGCCTTCGTGATGCCGTTTGTTGACTAATGTTCTCTAACAAACCTGAGGGCTTCACAGAACAGCTGTATTTATACGGAGAATAAATTACACACAGGTGGACTCTATTTACTTATTAGATTACTTTTGAAGGTAATTGGTTCACCTAGATTTTAGTTAGGGGTATCAGAGTAAATGGGTCTGAATACAAATGCACTCCACACTTTTCAGATATTTGTAAAAAAGTTTGAAAACCATTTAGCATTTGCCTTCCACTTCACAATTATGTGCTACTTTGTGTTGGTTTATCACATAAAATCCCAATACAATACGTTTGTTTTTGTAACATGACAAAATGTGGAAAATTTCAAGGGGTATGAATAATTTTTCAACGCACTGTACAATCCAATATATTTTGGCCTTTGTCTATGTAACGCCTCCTTTCTCCACCCTGGCTCTGCAACAGCTTGTAGACTTTGTTGGATAAACCAGACCTTCCTTTTTTTGTCATGGGGGTATCTTAATGAGGTGGTCCACCCTCAACTGGATAGACATCCACCTGTGGCCATGGGACCTGCCGGTAGGGGTACCATGCCGGCACTTCGTGGCGGAGGTGGGCTGGTTAGACATCTAGAGAGCAAGAAATCCACTACGAATTGAATTCTGTTTTTCTAAAATGCACACTACCCTATCCAGAATTGATCTTTGTTTGGGAATGGTCCAGTCCAACACTGATTCACTATATTAGATACAGTGGATATACAAAGTCTATACACCCCTGTTAAAATGTCAGGTTGCTGTGATGTAAAAAAATGAGACAAAGAAATAACTTCAGAACTTTTTCCACCTGTAATGTGATCTATAAACTGTACAACTCAATTTAATACAAACTGAAATCTTTTGGGGGGAAATAAACATAAAAAACTAAAATAATTTGGTTGCATGAGTGTGCACACCCTCTTATAACTGGGGATGTGGCTGTGTTCAGAATTAAGCAGTCACATTCAAAATCATGTTAAATAAGAGTCAGCACACACCTGCCATCATTTAAAGTGCCTCTGACTAACCCCAAATAAAAGTTCAGCTGTTCTGGGAGGTCTTTCCTGACATTG